GAGCAAACATTTTCAAAATGAAGTATGTGAAGTCAGCACATCGAACGAGGTTGACTGATGAACATTTGAAAGCAATTCTCTTGGTTGGGTGCAGCAATTCCAAAGCAAATATTGATGATATCTTAAAAGCTAAACGCCAGTTTCACAAATCTCACTAACCTTTTTTTGATGCTTAGTTTGTGAGATTCGAATATGTGCGCACTGGGTAAATAAACATGTTTGTTGTCTTTATTTTTTGTGTATTCACTGTATTGTATTGAACAAAATGGTTATGCGGCCCGCGCTCGTCATTCTCTCAGTTATCTGGCCCGCTGTGAAAAAAGTTTGGTGACCCCTGGTATAGATGAATCCCGAATGATTACACGTGGGAAGTGCATTTGTCCGAAATGTTGCTAAGCGTGTCAGAATACAAGTATAAGATATGTATAAAAATTGTATATGAGGATTTTACTTTTCTAACTTAAAACAATCAGTTTCTTCTGTAATAATATAAAAAGTATATAACAAGGGATTTTGCATCTTGAATATTGTAAGTCGTAAATCACTTTTTAATTAAATCTCTTCATACTATATATCTGATTATACATAGGTTATTTTACACCAACACCATACAAAATTTAAAAATGTCATTACCAATAAATTATCATTTGATTACGTTGTCCGAATTGTCTTTTAAAAATGATACGTTTTAACGTTTTCTTAATCACTATGCAACTGTTAATTAATTGTCACGTCCGGCAAACATACACTGTTCTGGGGTGTGTTTTTTATTTTATGATAAAACTATAATAGATTTGAAAACATCTTTCTCCGATTACTATAAGGGAGAATTGAAATAATCGATTGGTAATTTAGTGTTACTGAAGTGTCCTGGCCTGATAATATTTTGTTCGTCTAACTTTTACTCACTTCCTAATGATAAATTTTAGTTCTGATATAAGAATCCACGAGCTTTAGATTAGATAAGATGAATGTATGATAAATTTTCTTTGAAACTAAAATTGATTTTCTTATAATAATAAAACGTACCTTTCTGTCATAAACTGGCCAAAGTCTTTCATAAACATGTTCATGGGCCCAAATCTCTATGTCTACGCCGTACTTATAGAAAAGGTCTTCAAGTCCAAATGCATGAATAACTGGAATTCCTTTACGGATCTTGAATAGAAATTGCAAATCTTAAAATAAAAGCTGATTATTTAGTTACGAAGTTTTGATAGATTAATGTCAAAATAATTAGCTCATGATCCACCTGATGAAAGCAAAAGCATTGAAACAATCCTATCCTAATGTAATCTTACCACGAAAATAAGCGATGAACTAACTACTGCCTAATTAATTTCATTAGTTTTGTTAGAATATATGCAAAAATTTTCAGAAAGGCCTACCACAAAAGCATTTAATAACGTAAAAAATGTCATGCGCTATAATTGATAAAACGAAAATAGTCCAGTTAGCAATAATGGTTGGAGACGGCTTGAATGGGTGATGAAGAAAAATTTTAATATAAGTTAAACTTATAAGTTTAATATATGTTAAACTTATATTAAAGTTTTTCTTCATCACCCATTCAAGCCGTCTCCAACCATTATTAGTCTCAAAGTGGGTTCCTCGTCATCGAATTTGAGTCCAGTTAGCAGTTTTGAAAATTCCTAGGTTAAGCAAGATCTTTTTTCTGTTTTGAAAAATACCCCATTCAACAAAAAAGTACCTTAATAATTTTTATCAATAATAACAAATAACATTTTGTACATTATTTAACTATTTCGTACTACACTTTCCTTATAATATTTACACATATTATTTTAACAAAATTAATGAAAAATTAATGTCCAAAAATGAAAAAAATGTTTTTAAATTATTAGTTTTCTTGTGATTGTAACAAACAAACGAAGTTCAAATAACTAACATGAACTTTCTGGTCTCTTTATAAAAATATATTGAAGCCGTAGTAATCTATACTATTATTCTGCTTGTTTCTATGTACGACCGCTATGCTTTCTGACCGAGAACCTGCTGCATAAGCATGCATAGTTAGAATGTTTTCCCAAGAAAAACAGCGCATGCGCATTATTCACTCGGCGACAAATAGTCTGCCTGCGGCAGAGAGCTGCAAAGCTCAATTATCAAGTCGCTACAATTGCTGTATGAAACAAGAA